CCCCGCCCCCGCCACAAAAGCTCGGCCGCCTCACCGATAGCCTCGGCGCTCGCCCGCCGCCGGTGCCGGTCCCGCTCCCTGCGCGCCGCCATGCTTCTCTCGGCACTGCGCATGCTCCGCCCACCGCGCATGCGCCGGCTGCCCACGGCAAGGGAGAGACGAACGTGTGGGGGTATGGAGGACAGAGGAGAAAAGGGTCAAAGAACGGGGCAGAGGCGGAGAAACAAGCATTAGAGACGGAGAGTGACAGGACCATGGCAGAGAGATAAAAGAGGTGACAGTAAGAAGTAGCAAGTCTGCGAGACAAAGACAAGACAAAGCAGCACAGGAAAAGGGTGAGGGACAGGGAGCCGGAAAGGGGGATACTGCAAAAGAGACCGGGAGCAGGACAAGAGAGACAGACCAGTGAGACAGCAGGCAATGGGAGAGAGAAAAGGAAGGGAACAGTCACAGAGAAACACGGGGTGGCAAAAATAAGGCAGAAGGACTGAGGAGCAGAGAGAAAAGGTAAAGGGAAAAGAACAGGTATGGAGAAAACAAAGGCCTTGAGAAAGACCGACAAGGACAGGGAGCAGGACAAAGGGATGGAGGAGGAAGAAACTGTGATGGGAGCAGGATACAGGAAAAAAGAGCAAGAGAGAATGGCAGAAAGATGTACAGAGGGACTGGGAGATGTAAAAGTGGTTGGGGACGGGAACATCAGAGGGGTAGAAAAAAGAGGGTTGGGGAGCAAGACAGAGTGACAGAAATGGAGGGAGGGAGTGGGACGCAAGGATACAGAAAAGCAGAGGTACAGGGAAGAGGAAAGGCAGAAAAGAGAGGATGGGGAGCAGGAGAGGCCCCTGCCCCACCACCTCCCGCGGGGGAACAAAGCCGTGCCTGAGCCAGCATGACGCACGGTGACCTTGCAGGACCCGTCCTCGCTTCGACACGACGGCCTCGGGTCCTGTCCGCATCAAGAAAGCGATCAGGGCTGCCTCGTTCTTCCAACACATGGCACGGCATCGCCTCAAGTTCTGCACGGTTTTGGTGGGCTGGAACAAAAACAAAAGGACAGAAACCCACTGACCCCTCTGGGCCTCGCACCACGTCCAGTCACCTCGGCAGCTCGTTACTGCCACACCAGCTATCATTTACCTGAGCCCACGGTGCCCGCTCCTTGGCCACTCCGAGCTTTGCTCTATGAACGCAATCCCCGTTTCAATCGCTGTTACAAATAAGCACTTAAGATGTATGCGTTTCCAAAAAGCTCAACACAGAAAGCAGTGAAAAATTCAATGGTTTTGGAAAGATCCTGAATGCTATGCAGGATAAATGAGTTTTCATGTAACAAATGATTTTACCTCATATTCTCTCCAGAATTCATAGTGAAAGTTCCTCATTATCAAAGGGAAAGAACTACAGGTTGGGCAAGCTGATACATCAGTAGTGAAACGTGCCCTGCACAGCGTGGCCGTGAGCTGTCCTTGCGAATCCGACTACGGTCCGAGCGTTTCACATTTGCAACGACAGAGAAAACTGCATTGCTTAAAGAGCACCGAGATAAGGAAGAAAATATTAAAAGCACAGGATGGGCACAGATAAAAAATAAATTAAAAGCATCTGCAAGGGTTTTTTGCCTATACAAAAAAACCTTTAAATTGACATTGTACAAACATTACCTTTCAAAAGAAGCCCCTTACAAGGACCGTTTTTACAAGGACTGAACTGTAACCACACAAAACCAGCCTTCTGCAAAGCGCTCCGCATCTCCTCACGGGGATGCCCGAGCAAAGCTTTTGGGCCAGCTCAGAACAACCCGGGCCCAGCTGTTGCCTCTGCCCGGGGAAGCCAT